TTGAAATCTTGGTTTAGAGTTTCTTTGTTTGGTTATGGAGGCGTCTGGCCAAGTAGATTGCTGTCAACTTGACCTTTCCATGCTCTGAGGAAGGCGAAATCCGCCGAAACGTCAGCTCATTTGTGAATAAAGAATAATAACACCTCGCGTTTGCTCAACAAAAATACGAAGAATTACAAAATTGCATAATTTGCCCCAATGGTAGAGACAGTGACTGCATGAGTTCGGGTACAGTCCATCTGATCTCTTGAAAAGCGTGCGGAGACGAATACGTTGGCGAAACGGATAGACCACTCTGCGTCCGTATAAAAAGAACACCTAGTCGGCAAACGTAAACCAAATACTCCACTAGGCGCGCAAAGAACGCAGAGACATAACGGAGAAGATTTTGTTGTAGAGGTTACGATCCTCGCGCATGAATCGAGAACACAAGCGCGCAAAACTCTAGAGGCATCGTGGATTAATTCCAAGAATCCGGAAATGAACCGCAGGGATGAATGCCTCATTACCACGCGTGATATTGTGCAGTATATAAGCCTGTTATTTTAATGAGATGGGCATAATACGATTCCGTGTGAACTCTGTGCGGTTGGTCTCCACGTGACATATTTAGTGGAAGACTCATAGAAAACGGTGAGTGTGCAAAGACTGTGTTCAATGTGATGGAAATTTTGGTTCAGCATTTTCTCTGTTTGGTTATGGAGATGTTTGGCTGTGTAGATTGTAGTCAACTTGAGCTTTCCAGGCTCTGAGGAAGGCGGAACCCGCCGAAACGTCAGCTTGTACGTAAATAAAGAAATAAAGTAACACCTCGAGTTTGCTGAACAGAAGTAGAAAGAATTATCCAATCAATGCCGAGGTTAATAGAAAATTGGACTTGGGAGCCATGATTCACTTATTTTCAACCACACTTATGCTCAGATGTTAGCAAAACTGGTGGGATTTGAATCCGTCATTGCCCTTACGCGGGGCTCACGTGCTATCCAGAACACCAACCGAGCGGTTTGCGTTGTCTTCTTCTCAGCTGGTTTTCTACACCAACGATTGCTGTCAAGAACAAAAAATATGAGTTAAGAAGTAAAAGTTCAACTCGCTGTGTGTTTGATTTACACACACGAGATTGTTATTAATATTCAGTACGGCTGACATTCCGGCAGATTTCGCCGTGTTCAGAGCCTCGAAAGGTCGAGTTAATCGCAACCTAATCAGCCAAACACCTCCATAGCCTCCACAAAAAGACTAGAAGAATAAGAAAATTAAAAACTAAGGAAGTCTAGCAAATTGGAAGCTTATACTAACAATAAAAACAAAAGATAATAATGACTAATAAACTGACTAGAACTAGGCTAAGACTATTACTAAAAGTTAAGACATTGTGATTTCGACTGCAACCTCAGCTTAACTGGGTTCAGTGCCGATTTGGCTTCCCAAATCACTCCTGTTGACGGATGATTGTTGATAGCACCACCAGAGTAGGACAGTGGTTGAGTGAAAGGCACAGCAAAGCCTTGTTGGTGCAGTGGGTAGCACTTGGGACCAGGAAAGGGTTATTACGGGTTCGAAACCCAAATGAGGTTGTGAGTTCTGCTCACATCTCAGCATCCTCGTGGTTGTATTTCACATAATACCCTGCCATGAAGAAGTAATAAGTACTAAATTGAAGTTATGCACACATATTACGTTGTTCCAAAATGTCTTCCAGTAGTCCCATCTAATGTCCATTCACAACGACGTGACCTCTACGGGAATCATTCTTTAGGAGACAAAGCGGACGTTATGACGCTTATGAGGGCCATTTCAATGGTTTGTTTTGGCGCGCGTTTTCCAACGTTTCTTGTAATGAATCGATAGGCTATCTAAAACGGATATTTTAGCAGCCATCGTCCATGGAAAGGTGACCTCTTAATAAGTCTAGCTTAACAATTTACAAAAACGCTTTCGTACGATTGGAAAAACACCTCTACGCCCAGTAATTCTCCTCATATACCATGTTGTACATACAAGTTAGTGAGTTTGTTTCAAAAGAAAACCTATCTCCGTGGTCTCAGCTCACATGAAAATCGTGGGAATGTGTATTTCAACTCTAAGAATGCTCAAATTGAGGTTTAAGTCCTTCCAATGCCGAACTTTCGACAGAGACGCGAAGCAGCCGCTCGTCGCCCAAATGAAAAGCGCGACGCTCGCAGCGCATTCCAGGATGCCATCGTTTATGCTCTCTATACGTATTAGACTGTTCTGTGTTATGATAAGATCTTGGAGTTGTAGTTCTGTGGAATAGAATGGAACTATTATCTTCCCTTTTCATGATGAGTGATCCTATAGCCTCTTACACCTCATCTTCTTTCCGTCAAGTGTACTCGTACATTTTTTAGTGCAATTTTTTGCTGCTTTATTTCGAATTTTCTCAGTTTCTTACAGTTTTTCACTCTGTTATCGGTCTGTATTATTTGCTTGTAGAGAGCGTTTAAGCAGTTTAGAAACTGTAGTCGATCGATCACAAGTCATTTATTGGTGAAAATATGGTAAGGCTTTGCTAGTACTGATTACTTTTTTCGTGTTTAAGGAAGGTATTTTTTCATTTACTAATGGGCTTTAAAAAAGTCTCTTCGTCTATTATGTGCAACAGTTAGAAAAGCTCTAAAAGCTTTTTTAAGTGGATAGAGCTCTCCGCGTTGATCAATCCTTGACGGATGCGCCATGCATTAGACTCCATCAACCACCGTCGGAGGTGATTTAAAGCATATCTGGTCTTTACAATGACTCGCGGTAGCCTACCCATGTATCGAGCCAGTGTTGCTATCCTCCCAAACTAGTGTCGTACCAATTTTCTGACCCCGGAGGGGGGGAAGGCTTCGTGAGCCATGTGCTCGGGGATCGATCCCATGTGTGTATTGCAGGACACCTCCGGCCACTGCGCCAGTCTCGCCATTGTGCACCAGTTATTCTTGTCAATGTATCATTTGCGGGGAAACAAGTTTTATTGGCAAATTTACACAATCGAAAGGTGGTGATCCCTTTATCACCTCTCTGGGTAACGTTCTCATGATGTTCGTTCTCTGTTCGACAAATTGCTCTATCAGTGGTAAGTTCTTCACCTCGTTTGTTCACATTGTGAAGTTTGGTGTCCTAGTGTGTTTGGCTGCTCGGCACAGCTAGGTTTCATTGCCTTCCGCAGGTAAGGTTACCCAAGTTGACGGTGCTCGTGGGCAGTGAGTGTGTGATCTGGACATTGTAACAAACGGGTTTTAGTAGAAATTAGTCGTGAAAACAGTCAGTTATAAAAATTGGAAACGATACTGCATCTGATGAGACAGTTTGTTGTGTTCGAATGTAAGTATGTAGATCCAATAGAAAGGCGAGCCGTGTCTGAGCTACATTGTCTCTAAAGCCATAAGTTAGTTTTCTTCGCAGAAAGTTATTTGTTACGATAAAACATCAACTGCTAGCGTTCGACTGCTCAGTGATGAATGAACAATGCTACCTTTCTGGCACTCATAATCATGTTTCTATGTGAATATATTCACGTGCAAATCTGACTTCAGCATGCCTTCGAATCGTTAAGCAGTACCGGGTCAGACAAAGATGCCAACTCGTCAGACACACCTGGGACAGCTAAGCCCGTTTATAGAGTATCTGGTTCGTGGATTTTCATTTGAAGTGTTTTTTGCATATCTAAGCAATAGAATTTGAAAAAGGAGTATTGTCTTTGTTTTCTGATCAATGTCGAGATTAAGCTGTTAGAGTTAAAGAGTTACAACTTCAGAGTTAAACGTGAAATTACGAAAATGACGAGTGATAATGAAATTATTCGACTGTCCTATTTATTGTTTATGGTGGTAAAAGATTTCGTAAAGTGGCTTGGGCGTTAACATGCTGTTATTACTCCTGCAGAGCTTAGTGATGTGGAAGCTTCAGAAGAAGAAGACTTGTCCGAAGAGTTTTACGAAGTAGAAAGAATTGTTGGTCATGAGAACACTGAAAAGGGATTGTTCTACTTGGTGAGTGTTGTGTACCAGTGGTATTATTGAGATAACATTTCATTCGTACATAATTATTTCTTAATGGTTGTGTTTTGTTAACATTTTCCGATTTCGTGTTAAAAATTGGAATAAATTGGAATCCATTTTCAGGTGCGGTGGAAAGGGTTCGGTAAGGCTGATGACACCTGGGAACCCGCTGAAAACTTGTCGCATGCAACAAACGCTATCTCTGACTACGTGTTGTCAAGGAAAATAGTCCTAAAGAGTGTGCGTACGTTCCTTGGTTTAGGCTTTACTCTATCCTTGTTCAGAATTACTTCTTAACGAGACTTGCATAGCAACTTAAGAACCTTTCACATTATGGTAAACGGTATACAGTTTCATTTTCAGAGACAAAGAACACTAAGGAAGGAGTCAAAATCAGACACTCATAAAGGTTTGGTGAAAGAACAAACTACGTCGAAATCAGCTTCGTGAGTTTTCTCAGTAATGGTATGCATATATCTGCTTAGTCTTGATATATGATGTCTGGCTCTAGTGTCTTTTGGCTTACTTTATCATTTATCCAGAGTGATAAATTTTGCAGAAACTTTGTAGATCAGGCCAAAGAAGAACCATGACCAAAGGAGCACTGAAATCGGGTCCACCAACCAAGGCGAAGAGCCATAGAAGCACGTTTACGTCGCCTTTGGAAATTCTGCCAGCAGCTAAAGAAGTGCGATTGTTTGAAAAATTATTTGTAATGATGTGGGAGGAACACATGTTAGAGGATGACGTAAAAAATCTACCCTTGAGGTGTCGAACTAGAACGAGTGAATGGGAATTTAATTTTCTTTGTAATAATCAATAGCAAGAACTGTTCTAACAAATCTTTGAGCTTCGTTGTCTCAGTCAAAGAATTTGGAAATATATGTTAATATGAGATTGATCCAATGGATTGCAAATTCGGGTCGTTTCCAGGCTCTCCATTTGACGCAACCATGGCTGTATGAAAGAGACTCAGATGAGTCGGATGCGGACAAAAAGCACGAACAACGGATAGAGCAGCGGAAACTTATTGTACAGGAGCGTGAGAGGATCGATGAAGAAGATAAACGGCGCAAAAAACAGAAAGAGAAATCTTTTGAAAGATGCAGCAGCATGACACCGGGTAACAAGCGTAAATGGCAGGCAGAAAGCAGTTATCCGGACGATAGTGAGAGTTCGAAGGTAAGGGGCGGCGTTATCTTCTAGTAATTATTTATGAATAGGGGTATGTTTCTATAGGCGGATGAACACTATGAAGTTTTGTATGGGGCGATACCAGTGGAACTCTCTAAGGAGTCTGACAACGGTGAGAATTTAATTTCTATTCGTATTTGGCGAGAGCAGCAGGCAACCTATTTATTTTTTCTTTAATAAGGTTTCATTTTGTAATTAGAAGTACAGTTTTTGTTGGTTATGATGCTGTTGTTCCTGGTGGCGAGCGATCTACTGCTAATGAGCGCAATGTGGATGATCAGCAGCAGATATTTGCCGTCGGAAAAACTAATGACGGTCGAATCAAGGTGTTAGTTGGCACCGATGAGGCGAGAAGACTCGTTTCCTTAAGCGGTTAGTTTCTGTTTTCATGGTTGTATAGATGGTTCGATCAATTTTGCTCTTTTATTAATATTTCCAAACCTTTCTTATATCGAATATTTCCTCTTGGTAAATGTTTGAAGAACAGATGCAGGTAGGTGTCTTTGCACAGAATAGGTGTTCAGTATTTCTAGAAATTTTCACTACAAAGCATGAAGTTTTAGTTGAAATGGAGCTACGTGCGTTCGGTCCCTAGATAAGCGTCATCGTGATGTGCACTTTAATTTCTTGATTCCGCTCTTCCAGGAATCATATGCCTACGTTTCGTTTTTGTTCAAAAACACCAATGATAAAATTAGCAAGCACGAAAATTCAACAAATAATCATCAAATGATGACCTACTGGTAACCATAATGAGGTGGTTGCCTTCCAACGGTTTACCGCCTCATCCTGGTTAGGAGGTTTTCCTGGGTGTCCCGCTGCGGTATACAGCGAGGGATTCACCCCCACAGCAGGGTCTGCCAGGTTGAGGAGTCTGGCATTTCCATCAGGAAGCCCAGGTAAGAATAAACCAAAACTGGAATCCGCCACAGTCTTGATATGAAACTAGTCGCATGGTGGTATATCTCCCTCTGATCCACAAGGGCAGTGACTGCCCGTGGTGGTAGTGGCGACTTGCGACAGACTTTGGCTAGGCTGGCCTCGGAACTCCAGGGAAATACAGTGGGTAAACCAGCAAGACTCCAAAAAAGTGGAAATTATGCTGGCTCCAACACAATCAGTGAAGACGGGCCACCGTAGTATTTTTGTAATGAGGTGGTTGGGTTTAAGTAGTGGTTTCTGTCTTAATTTCATAGAATTCATCTTCATTGCATCTGATTAAGCAATTCTGGATTTCGAAGTTAACTTTGAGTTTAGATTCGATTTTTATGAATCAGTTGTGTTACATAAATAAACGGACAAATTGAAGAGAATATGTTGTATTGAGCTCACTTTTTCGCTTCTTTTTTCTTTTTTTTTGCAGATAACACTACTGTTGGCGGTGGTAGTTCTTTTACATGTAGTTTCTTCATCTGATGTAAACCTCAATTAGGATGTCATGTGATCAGAACTATCCTTGTAGCTTAGTAAAGTCGCATGGTTCTTATCTCTTCGGTGTTCAGATGCCCATGGTGTAAACTCTTGGGGACTGTTGCAACACGTTCTACAGTACGCCGTTTTTGAAACTCTTGAATGATTCAGATGTTGAAGCTCATTTTAATATATGGCATGATCTATCGGTGCGATAGGTGACGAATAAGTACGCGTTATTTTTTTTACATTAATAGTTCTTGGAATTGTTCATATATTAAGAATTTGTATTATTGCACAAATCTGTACTGTATTTTTGTTGTTTCGAAGTGTTTTTTTAAACATTGTTCCAAGTTAATTTTCTCATTTGATCTCTTTTTTTATTGTACTCTGTTACCGGTGTAAATGCCTTATCCGCTTATATGAGTGATATTTGCAAGTACAGTAAGTACAGGTGCCCTACAAGCACGTGCTTCCACTTTATGGGTAGTTACCAAGGAGGTAAAAAATAAAAGGATAAAGCTTTCGGCGTTGATCAGTCCATGAGGGATGCCCCATGTATTCGACTTCATTAAGCGTGGTTTGGATGTGATTAAATACATATTTGAACTTTACAGTGACTCACGGTGGTTTAACGATGCATCGAGCTAGTGCTGCTATCCTCCCAGACAAGTCTGGTACCAATTTGCCGACTCCGAAAAGATGGAAGGCTTGGCGGGCCATGGGCGCGGGGATCGATTCAACGTGTGTGTCGCAGTGGCGCCTCCAACCACTGCGCGATACCAAAGGGATAGGGTGATATAATTGTCTCACTGAGTCTGCCAACGTCGTAGATGGACGAAAGGAAAAATGATCTATTACTTATCTAACGAGTTGAATCCTTTGCCGTGTAGTGGTCTTATTGTCTAGGTTGATATCATTGATATCTTAGGCAACACGAAATTTCACTGCATCGCACCAGTTGTTCGACAACCTAACAAAATTCGCAGTACCACCAGTGGTGTATTACTATTCGAGCATGTCCCCTTTCCATTTTGCACGTGAGGGAAGGTTTTTTCACTAGAGTATCGGTGAATTTCGACATAGTCTACGTTTATGGTGATTGGAATGTCCACTTGACCAGAATGGTTGAAATTGTCGGTGGAATGGATCCCAACTATCACATGAAGGGCATCCCTTTCATTGAACGACAAATTACCGCCCTAACGTTAGGGTTGCGTTGTATTGAGCGTATGCGAGTGTGATCACATGAAATATTATGCGATTAGCGGCTTCAAGAAGGGCGTGGACATCGGCGTCTGTGGAAAGTGTTCTAGTATTATATGTGCAGAGTAAGAAACAATCTCCCTGACGTGTCGTGCGTGTGTTTGTCAGATCCGGTCCCAGTGTTGTCCTGTGTAGCCCGAGATTTCGTGGCCTCTCACCGGTCGTCTCACTGTCTTACATCATAGTAGGGAGCACCAGTGTTCGAGGCACTGAGGCTGGCCTATTGCTGGTTGAGCAATTTGATCCTCTTTAAAGTCCTGACTTAACCTTGCAAGGGTGTATCCAGGTCTTCACCACGATGTGGATCAGAGGGAGATGTATCGTATACATGTCGATGTATACATGCCGTATCGTTACTGCTGTACTGAGGTTGTTATTGTACTGTATAGCAAATAAAAAGTAAAAATTGTGAATTGGCTCTCCAGATCAACCCCATTGAGTGGTGATTGGTGATGGCACTGAGCGATAGACCTAGGTGAGAGACAGGTGGAACGACGGACCCGCATGGTGTGCTGGTGAACGCGTTAGCCGGCAGAAAGCGTAATAGCGCGTTCGTTCGCTACAGCAGACGCCTGCGGTCTGGAGTTTTTCAAATATCTCAGCGTAACTGTGGTTGTATTTCGCATCATACACTGCAACGGTAGTTTACCCGATAAGAAAACTGCTTTAATTTCGCCCCTTGCAAAAGCACGAGGCTCGCTGCAACTGTTGCATTCGAGCAAAGGAATTGTAGATAGAGTCAGTTTGACAAAATATTTTGCAGAACACTTTTGTAAAAAATGCAATCTTTTAGACAGAAAGATTTTTGGCCACATCGAAAAACTTATAATACTGGCAAGAAGCAAGGGTTCGATAACGGTATTGCCGTGTTCCACTGCACAGCGTACTCACCAGTCATAAAGATGACTTCTTCATCTACCGATTGCTTCTTTTGATGATCAGATGGTAACAGGTGTAGTGTGCTAAAAATTTCTCTAAAACCGTGTGGTGCTGGCAAGAAGACTGGGATGGCTTACGGCATTGACGTGCTCCACGGCACAGCGTAGTCATCAGTCATAAAGATGATTGTTTCATCTGTCGATTGATTATTTTTATCAAGAGATGGTAATAGATGTACTGTGCTGCATTTCTCCAGACCGTGTGGAACGGGCAAGAGGACTGGGATGGCTTCCGGCATTGCCGTGCTCCACGACACGGCGTAGTCATCAGTCATAAAGATGATTTCTTCATCTGCGGATTTCCTATTTTTGTCGTCAGATGGTCACAGATGTTATTGCAGTTGCTAGTCGAAAATAGGCTTTCGAGTCACTCCTCGGCACCGAATAATCACTAGCTTTTAGCAGAATGCTCGACTTCGTGAATAAATGCCACGCGGGAATTTTCGTAGTTGTCACAAGGCAATACCTAAAACTTGGGTAATTAAACCATTTATATACATAAATGCAACATCAATACAACACTAATATCGACGGAGAACTAACGAGAGATAAATAAGACAAGTTCAGGGCTATGAGGTGCTGTACCTACTACTAATGCGAGGCTTACGAAGGCATAAGAGTATTGTAAATAATACTATTGCAACATTAGTACTATGACAGCAGTAACTTGATAACAATGACAAGTAAGGGGATACGAACGATGGCGCCCGTACTGGCGCGTACAATGGTCCAGATACCGAGGGCTAGAACAACAGACGAGTGAGATGCAGATGAGCCCTGCATTAGGCTAAGCTGGAGACCGTATGTAGAGCGGCTGGGTGCATTTGCACATTAATCGATGACGATAGCAAGTTACCTAAGCATCGATGGTGGAAGTGACTAGGAACGAGATGAGACATCTGCGGAACACGGTCAAGCGGCTGCTCTTGGATGACGATATGTCTGCAACGTGAAGTTTGAGCATCGATGGGTGTCACCATTGCCTAAGAGATTATAGACCAAAAACATAACGACTGAGAAATGATAAGCCTATAGCGGCTTAACAAATACACAGCATAAGTTGGCCGGCTAGCGGCCTTGTACGCATGGCGTACCGTGTGGGAGGAATGGTATATGCCAACGGTGGCGTTTCAGACAGAACGCATTTGAGGATAGCCGCTACTGACAATACACCGCAGACCAATTGATAAACAATGAACATTCCTAAGAGGATGAGGATCAGGATGATAACGATGAGGATACAGTGGACTGATGGAAAGCGTGACGTAGTGACGGTGATGCTAAATTAATGTACAACTCGCAACTGCCATTTAACAATGATATGATGAAGTTAATGTACAATAAAGACTACGTGCTGTATGACCTAACAACTGCGATAACCTACATTGGCGACACACAAGGCCAATACGATACAGATCTAAAGAGTCGGCGAACCCCGACACGGGTGAACATCGATAGTCGACGAACCTGGACAAGGGCGAACCTGAATAACAATTAACGAGGCTATTTATATGCTTCTGGAGAAGGCGGTATTTGGCACAGGTCCAGCATCTTTACCGAAAACATTCGTCGCTTACCGTCTCCATATCCTTTCAAAACCACATATCATCTGGCGGAAGACTGCTCTCGCAAACATCCTCATGCCCTTCTTGTTATTATACGCGTGATGACTTTTGGACAATAATAACAAACAACGAGTTCAGAATGCAAAAACAGGCTTGCATAACAAGACTGTAAAGAGCGATCGAAGTTGCTAAGGACGGGATCGAAATGTTTACGTACTACGACATTTGCTAGGCAACTTGAGAAACAGTGTATATGATCCTTAATACAGAAACAAACAGTGGTAGAAAGATACAAATATACATATAGAAAGAAATAGAAACTATTCTGCGAATACAACCACAATGTTGCTGAGATATTTGCAAAACTCTGGACCGCAGGTGTCCATGGTGGGAAACGAACATGCTACTGTCCTTTCCGGGGAGTAACGCGTTCACCACCACACCATGCGGGTCCTTCGTTTCGCCTGTCTCTCAGCTAGTTCTCAGAGGTCTGTTCTTGCATAAGCACAGCTACTCATTGCGTCGACGAGCTTTTCAATCTGTTTGATCATTACGACTGCTTATTATTGGTTGTGATAGGCGTTTCTTTTGTCTTTGATCTAGAACGCTCGAAAGGTTCATGTGATTTCCACCTGAGAATCATCACCTGGATGTAACCGGTCGTGTGTGTCTCACATTCGCCGATATTCACCTTCCCAAATTTTCTCACCCAAAGTTTCTCGTGGCTTTCCATGGTCCACGGCAATGCCGGAAGCCATCCCAGTGTTCTTGCCACACCACACTGTTTTAGAGAAATGCAGCACGCCAATTCTATTACAATCTGATGATAAAAATAGGCAATACGCAGATGAAGAATTCACCTTCATGACTGATGACAACGCTGTGCCGTGCACCACGGTAATGACGTAAGCTATCGCAGTCTTCTTGCCAGCACCACACTGTTTTAGAGAAATTCAGCATACTGCATCTATTACCACATGATGATAAAAATAGGCAAATCGCAGATGAAGAAATCATCTTTATGACTGATGACTCCACAGTGCCATAGAGCACGGCAATGCCGCTTGCCATAAAAGTCTTCTTGCAAGCACCATACGGTTTTAGAGAAATGCAGCACACTGCATCTATCACCATATATGATCATAAAAATAAAAATCTGCAGATGAAGAAATGATCTATATGACTGATTAGTACGCTAGGCCATAGAGCACGGTAAAGCCGTGAGCCATCGCAGTCTTCTTGCCAGCACTACGCTGTTTTAGAGAAATTCAGCACAATGCATCTATTACCATATGATGATAAAAATAGGCAAATCGCAGATGAAGAAATTATGCTTATGACTGATTCCTGCAGATTTTCCATTTTCATGATCACACTGTAATAGATGCAGTGCGCTGCATTTCCTTAAAACCGTGTTGTGTTGGCTAGAAGGCTGGGATGGCTTACGGCATTGCCGTTCTCTACGGCACTGCGTAGTCATCAACCATAAATATGATTTCCTCATCTGCCTATTGCCTATTTTTATCACAATATTGTAACAGATGCAGTGGGCTGCCCTTCTCAAAAACGTGTGATGTTGGCAAGAAGGCTGGGATGGCCTACGGCATTGCCGTGCTCCACGAGACGGCGTAGTTATCCGTCATAAGCATGATTTGTTCATCTGCCTATTGCCTATTTTTATCATAATATTGTAAGAGATGCAGTGTGCTGCCTTTAGATGCAGTGTGCTGCCCTTCTCTAAAACCGTGTGATGTTGGCAAGAAGACTGGGATGGCTTACGGCATTGCCGTGCTCCACGACGCGGCGTAGTCATCAGACATAAAGATGATTTCTTCATCTGCCTATTGCCTATTTTTATCATAATATTGTAACAGATGCAGTGGGCTGCCCTTCTCTAAAAACGTGTGATGTTGGCAAGAAGACTGGGATGGCCTACGGCATTGCCGTGCTCCACGAGACGGCGTAGTTATCCGTCATAAGCATGATTTGTTCATCTGCCTATTGCCTATTTTTATCATAATATTGTAACAGATGCAGTGGGCTGCCCTTCTCTAAAACAGTGTGGTGTTGGCAAGAGTTGGCAAGAAGACTGGGATGGCTTACGGCATTGCCGTTCTCCACGGCACTGCGTAGTCACCAAATGTAAATATGATTTCTTCATCTGCCTATTGCCTATTTTTATCATCAGATGGTCATACATGCAGTGTGATGCCTTTCTCTAGAACCGTGTTTTGTTGGCAAGAAGGCTGGGATGGCTTACGGCATTGCCCTTCTCTACGTCACTGCGTAGTCATCAGACATAAAGGTGATTTCCTCATCTGCCTATTGCCTATTTTTATCATAATATTTTAACAGATGCAGTGGGCTGCCCTTCTCTAAAAACGTGTGATGTTGGCAAGAAGACTGGGATGGCCTTCGGCATTGCCGTGCTCCACGAGACGGCGTAGTTATCCGTCATAAGCATGATTTGTTCATATGCCTATTGCCTATTTTTATCATAATATTGTAACAGATGCAGCGGGCTGCCCTTCTCTAAGACCATGTGATGTTGGCAAGAAGACTGGGATGGCCTACGGCATTGCCGTGCTCCACGAGACGGCGTAGTTATCCGTCGAAAGCATGATTTGTTCATCTGCCTATTGCCTATTTTTATCATAACATTGTAACAGATGCAGTGGGCTGCCCTTCTCTAAAAACGTGTGATGTTGGCAAGAAGACTGGGATCGCTTACGGCTTTGCCGTGCTCCACGGCACTGCGTAGTCAGCAAACATAAATATGATTTCTTCATCTCGCTATTGCCTCTTTTTATCATCAGATGGTCATAGATGCATTGTGCTACCTTTCTCTAAAACCGTGTTTTGTTGGCAAGAAGACTGGGATGGCTTACGCCATTGCCGTGCTCCACGGCACTGCGTAGTCATCAAACATAAATATGATTTCTTCATCTACCTATTGCCTATTTTTACCATCAGATTGTCATAGATGCAGTGCGCTACCCTTCTCTAAAACCGTGTTGTGTTGGCAAGAAAACTGGGATGGCTTACGGCTTTGCCGTGCTCCACGGCACTGCGTAGTCAGCAAACACAAATATGAT